GTCAACCATGTCAACCAAGTCAGCGAGCCTGTCCATCCGATCCCGTTAGTCGCCTCTTACGACAAGCATGGGTTACTGAAGATCAATATTCTAACCCGGATCTTCACGGGTTACCACCGTAGAGCTCTTAACGGCATCTGCACTACTGTGCGTGCCCGTGTGCGTGTGCGTGTGCGTGTGCGTGTACGTGTGCGTGTGCGGATAAGCTTACGCAATCGTGTTGGTGATCATACTTGCATTTAGATGAAGCAAACTACTGGTCGATATCATGAGCATCAACACACGTCATCAATGTACTATGACAAGATTACGTATTCTCCTGTTCGTGTTCATGGTCAAACCTGCACTTAAACCAAGCAAACTACTGGTTAATATCATGAGCATCAACACACGTCATCAATGTACTAGGACAAGATTACGTATTCTCCTGTTCGTGTTCATGGTCAAACCTGCACTTAAACCAAGCAAACTACTGGTTAATATCATGAGTAATAACACACGTCATCAATGTACGGCAATGTTGATTCCCATTCTGTTCAGCTCTTATATACGACAGGCGATCCAATGCAAGAAAACACAGATAAAACAAATACAACTGTTTGTTAGGTCGTCTTCATTTAGATTAAAATCGAAACCTTTTTGACAAGTATGGGCATCATTGTAGATTATTTGTCCCTGTGATGACAGAAAACCAACCCAAAGCATGTATTATATGTTGATAATTATCTAGTGTCAAATAATAGCGTCCAGATCATGCACACCGGTCAATAACAGCATGAGCATCCACGTCCCCGCGTTATGATGAACTCTTATATTATTTTTAAATTATACATTTTTGTTAACACCGTTTTTGTTATCATCATCATCATCATCATCACAACCATCACCACCTCGCTCGTCACGCTGAAGACCAGGGTTCGATTCCCCACATGGGCACAATGTGTTAAGCTTATTTCTGGTGACCCCCGCCGTGTTATTGCTGGAATATTGCTAAACGCGGCGTAAAACCATACTCAGTCAGTATTATTAATCTTGGACACCACTTCGAATTAGAACATATTCAATGCATGTTTGCCTTGCTATTACCAAATCGCCAAATTGCACGTTTAGGTTCCGATTTATCAACACCTTCTATATTATCATCATCATCATCATCATCGCAACCATCACCACCACAATGTTCCTCCTCCTCATTATTATAAGTATTCATCTTCGAAAAAGAATGTATTCAATGAACGTTTGCCTTGCTATTACCAAATCGCAGAATCGCACGTTTAAGATCCGATGTCCTACAGGCCTTCGGGCATTATTATGTCGAACCGGTCATATTTAGCCCATGGGGGTAATGCTTTACTGGCCGTGGAGCCCCGGGCTTATCGGGCGAGGGTGATATCATAGTTACATCGCTGCATGCTAATGTAGTGGTACTTGAGTGTATTAAAGTACCACTGATGACAGCAACGCCAGGGTTATCATCCACGCCATCAGCACAGTTACCATACAGTCAGACATAAAGTGTTATCTCGATGGTAAAGTCTGAGTACGGTACAGAAACAAACGTTACGTGTCATGACAAAGTCTTTTAAACATCAAACAAAACTCCTAGAAACGCTGTAAAAACATTTTAATACACCTTGCGTCATTGTCGTATTTTCTTGAGTATGGTACGCAGTCAAGTATTATGCGTACCCCCGCCCTCTGTCCTTGGGGGATTTAGTAATTTGTAAAATTCAGGGATTTTTTCGCGTTTTATGGCAAAATACTACATCCTTTCAGGATGTATGTTTTCTCCAGAATTTTTTATTGTTATATTTGTTAAAGTTCATTTTCTCCCCAAAATACCCTCTCGATTTATTTATTCGTGTCCTCACGATTTATCGATGATTTGGCAAATCGTTGGACTGAACGAGCTGTCGCAAGAACAGCTAGACTAACAACAAGTCTCTGAAATGAACATATTTTACAGAAAAAAAGTTCCTAAATTATCAACATAAAATATAATGAAAAGGAGACCAGAGACTTTCTTCTTTTCTTGAAACTGTGGAAATCTAGACTTGTCACAGATTCTAGACTTGCATGGATTCTCTTGGATATATTTGTTTCAGGGTCTGTATGACAGACTAAGTAACAGCATACTTTCTACAGTAACACATGTTAGGTCTGTATATTAAAATAACTGGAAGTATTCTAATTGTTGAATACCAAGAACTGCATGAAATATTGGGCTGATGACAAAAAGCCAAGTATGCTTAATCACTGATCCGACATTTAAATGAATATTCTCCAGGGTCAAGATATACAATAAGCTTTCTGTATACTCATATACCTATGGGTTTGATGAACTCAAATTGTCTTAAACTGTTTTAAATCTTAGGAAATATATATATATTGCTTTTAAACTTTATGGTACACAACGCAAATAACTGTAATAGTAGTAAAAGGTTATATTTATTAATGTGCTTTGTACATATATATCAGTATGCATATCTATTCAATTTTGGGACAAGTGTTTATATGATGCTTTTGTAAAACATGTTTGTTTATTTTACAACTTTAATGTCCTATGGGCCTGTGGCCTCAGGCGTAAAGCTACGTATGACTTTGATAATGGAAAAGCAGATACAGCACATTACTTTATTAATGCAGACATGTACCATCCATTAAGAATAACAGTCATGTTAATTTCAACAAAGAAATGTGCTTAAGCCGTTCGGCAGTTACAGCAAATATTTGCCCATAGTCATTGAAGGTAATGTTATGTACTTCTGAAATTGACACATAATGATAATGATTGATCGCTTGTCAGACTGACGTGAGTTATACACGTAATTGACAGCTGGCTGGGAGAGCAATGAGCACGGATAGTGTAACGTTGTGACGTTTTGTCAGGTACGGGATCTACCTGTACAGGTGACACTGGCTGACCAACATCTGAAGGACGTAACTGGACACTTGACCTAGAGGCGTGACGATGAATATACTTATGTCTATTGTTCGGCATTATTGTAGAAACAATAGGTAACTGTGACGAAGAACGCCATTGTTGAAATGTACAACGTATGGCTGGATGATCAAAGACTTGTAATTTATGGGGCTTATTTATAATGTACTGGAGGGAAAACAATATGATGGGGCAAAACTATGACATGAAGATAAAATTAGCATATGTTTAAATTTAATGTTTTTGGACATCATGTGAATATTGTTCTAGAAAATTTAGTTAACTTGCGGGCAAAGTAAAGTTTTCATCAATGTTTAAAGGTGTCAAACCTGACGTTTTGAAAACTGTGTGTGCGTGCGTGTGTGTGTAGGGGAGTGCAGTCAACTTCTGCATTGCAATGAGTGAAATATCCATAGAACTTGGTTCTAAAATGCCTCCCAAACAAATTTTGATAACGCTTGTGTTTTAGTGTTTTGAGTGTTTGGTCATTTTCCGGGGGTAAATTCATTATGGAAGATTCTGTTCTAACCACGAAGGATTACAGACTGGAATATTAACCCATGGCCACCTCCGACCCACCTTCACATCGGTGTTCGCAGTGTTTGACTTGGTTTATTGTGTATTTCATACATAATTGCTCCTTATGTCAACCATTCGTTTGCCAGGTAACGACTCAGTTATTAACAGTCGTGATAGATACGGAATAACGCTGACTGCTGCGATAGATAACACTCCCTCACTATTCCGGTTAAATGCTGTGTCCGATACTTATCACTTTGCACGTTATCAACATGTAATGCTGCACCGTAAGACATAGATGTTGTGTGAGTGAGTGAGTGAGTGAGCATTACTTAACGCCGCATTTATAAGTTTTGCAGCTATTCGTGAGTGAGTGAGTGAAAGAGTATTTCTTAACGTTTTGCAGCTATTCGTGAGTGAGTGAGTGAAAGAGTATTACTTAACGTTTTGCAGCTATTCGTGAGTGAGTGAGTGAAAGTGAACGTTTTGCAGCTATTCGTGAGTGAGTGAGTGAAAGAGTATTTCTTAACGTTTTGCAGCTATTCGTGAGTGAGTGAGTGAAAGAGTATTACTTAACGTTTTGCAGCTATTCGTGAGTGAGTGAGTGAAAGAGTATTACTTAACGTTTTGCAGCTACTCGCGAGTGAGTGAGTGAAAGTGTATTACTTAACGTTTTGCAGCTATTCGCGAGCAGTCCCAATGTGGTACTGGCACGCAGGAAAACCCGACCCTGAATGAAACAATAACTAATAACTTAGTCAATAATAAGACACATATATCGTGACATTCCCAGCATATAATTCAATTACATATGCCCGGTCGTGACACTCATGCAGCATGCCTTTTCAATAATTAGTAGCTTAATTATTATGCTTATACTTGTAATACTTTCAGTTCATTGACCACAAGCTGGGTGTTTCGTTCGTGGAATACTGATAACTGAATTGTTGAATCACTTACATTTGTTTATGTCTAATCCAGTGTAATGATAACATAATTTATGACAATACATGTATATTACAACATATATATTCGCACGAGCATTTTATATTTTATTGTATTAATATTCTGAAAATATTAATTGACATGAGTGGTACTTTTCACTGCAATATTGTTGATTAATACCAGAAAGGATTATACGGTTAGAATAATATGTAAATATAATATCATCAACGAAAATAAACAGCCACTATAATACAAAGCCTGCTTATTACATGTTCACCAAGTCCACATGTGTAAAAGCATTAGAGATCACGTCACACGAAATCACTACCCAGTATGCTATTAAGTAAATATTGTCACTGATAGCTTATTTAGCCTTTAAGTAGCTTATGAGCTAAATAAACATCCCAACCTCCTATAATCCTGGCTACTTTTTGTTTTTGTATCTGTAACCTGTATTTTCTTTTCTGATGAAATCATATAAGAGCTCAATGAAATTTCACTCATTATTGAAAATATTGTGAAACTTTAATATTATGTAGTGACTAGACCTTTAAAAACCTCGAGCGGGGCGTCGTCTACCTCCGGCGGAAGTCAAGGTGCGTGAATCAGAACGAGGCATTACGTCGTAGAGGGGTCTAGCTATTGATTGACATCGGTCCCCACCCTATGACGGCCATATTGCGAACCGGTGCTTTACAAAACTAGGCTATTCAGCATTGACAGTTCCAGGGTGAGTTGAAATCGGCCTCACAAGTTGCAGTACGGTGATTATCATCACTCTTTCTTGCGATACAAGTGTGGAATATGCTCGAATATTGCTGACGATGTGCACAGCTTAGTTTTTTTCTGCTGGATACTTGGCAAGGCTGTCACTCGTTATAACTTGTGATTTGAGGTGTGTTCGCGCACATGGATGTAACCAGAAAGTTTAAATTGTGCTGTGCGGTGTTTGACTGTTCGTTTTGGATTTATTTTACTTATTCGGATTACTCTTTTAGAGCGCTCGACCGTTGGAGCTAAGGCGGGGGTGTCGCTCACTCTCCCCCCACCAGACCGTGTCACACGATTGTGTGAGAGATTTTCTAGGGAGGCGACACAGAATTTGAGCCGAGTGGCTTATGGCGCAAATAAGTTGTTAAAGCTGCCGATTTTTGTGTGTGTTTTTTTCTAGGCTGCTCCTAACCCGTTGAAATATTCGATACAATCCCTTCCTTGCGCAGTAGAGAGATATGGACCTTAATTTCTTCCGGAACACGCATCGTGGTTTGAGTGTTATTTTTAGAAATAATGAAAAGACATTTCTTTTAGGGGATAGTTCAATAAAACCAGGCCTATTTAAAGACTTTGCCCATCCTCCAGCGTCTCAGGATTTTTTACTTTCCACCAAGTTCATTAAGGAACATACCTGTAGAGATTTTTGTTAGGAAACGTAAGGTATGTAGATGAGGACTACCTTTGGAGAGGGTGGACACACCCCTACTGGATCCTTTTTTGAATGACCTATTTTATGCTTGAATGATTTTTGCTAGCAAAGCCATTTCGCTGTCGTCTCAACGTTTGTTCCTTGTATGACTCTAACACATTTGACAGCACAGCGTTCAACATTTTGAACATTGATTGTGATCTCTTCGGGGAACTAAATTTGTATTTAGGGATGAAATTACAAAGTGTTACTTACCTATTGGTTACATGAATGTACGAAGTGTAAAAATCAAACTAAAGGAAATACATTTTTTCAATAAGCATAGTAGTGGTGTTATTTTCCTGGAGTACATATTCAAGATTCAAAGTTCGATAGATAGATGTTGCAGGACCAGTCATCTAAATTATAAAACATAGTTCATCAGCAGGAGTTTGAAAGTGTTTGACAGTGGTTTGAAAATATATTGCAAATTGCAACTTGAATGCAAAAGTGTCCATTCAGAGCTGATATCGTATGTTATGACCCTTTCATGGGGTTCGTATAATCTGTCTATTCTGAGCATACCGAAATGAATTCAATTCGTGTGTTAGTACAGAGTAACAAAACATAAAACCCATTCTACTAGCCTACAGAAACCTATTTCTCGGGAATCTAGCAATGACTGGTAACAGCTATCATATGCTTGATCCCACCCCCTTTTCACTGACAGATTTATCAAGATAACACCACCCATGAAACATTACCATTGTGAGTTGATTAATGATGCAATTTGAGGTGGGTCTCGTGTGTGTTTTACGAACAGCAGTATATATATATAGCAGGGCCACACCCATGCTCATGTCTACATGGACACCACAGGATGATGTCACTGTTGTAGTGTATCGAGGGGGAGGAATGAGCTGACACCCTTTGTATGTCTAGCTTGAAGTACCACTCCAACAGTTCACTCTTCTTTTGCAGGGATTTCAACACCAATCTGGTTTCTAGGGGGATCTCTAACACTCTTTGGTTTTAGACGGCGGCTGAGGGTATACAATCAAAATGCCGAAGCCGGTAAGTACTCTTTTAAATATTTACACTGGTTTTAGATAGTTTGGAAGGGAAGTTTGTGTTGATTATAACCGAGACTGGCGTGTTGTGGGGTTAATTTATTGTATTTTGGATTGTTAATATATTTAATTGCATGATGAAAATTGAAGCTACTCCACATGTTTTAGCATTGTTGTACATTCATTTAAGTTTTGTTATGCAGTTCAGTACATATTGAGTAGTGGATATGCATTAAATAAGTTATTTTCGCTGGTTTACTTATTCTCAGGAAAAAACGCATGAGTGCAGTCAATTTTCATGCATGTGTAATGCTCCTGTATTTCCCTGTGATCATGATTGATTACTGTTTGTCCAAATGCTCAGAAAAAAGTCTCGTTTGAATGTAATACTAATAGGGGGACTTTGAGGTTTGGTTTCATAGTATTTGAATCTACATACCCTTCTTAAACCATTATGTTAGGGTAGTGATCCAAACCCTTTGACTCCTTGCTTATTTTTAAAAGAATGCATGTATGTTTTGGAAATACCTATGTATTTTGAAAAAGGTTAAAGAAAGAAAAGCTCTGTAAAGATAAGAATGTATCTTTGAATTCTAAGGATGTAAACATGGCTAACCCAGAGTCAGAATAAATACCTCCCTCTTGTGTGGCCTAGTTGCCTTATGTAAACATAGGGAGTGACCATCTGTCTAGCTGCAACAGTTTGTGAAACAAACCATCCCGGTTTGACAATTTATACACACATTATTGAATTAAACTAATGTGACCTCATTTCCTTAATTTGGAGAAAGAATATAGTTATATCAGTTTGAGTCGGGGACGGGTGATTGTTTGAACTTTCAAACTGAAAGTTCTAGCAGCTGAGCTGACGTTCATGAGTCATCACATGACCGTGATTTGAATAGCTCTAACAATGAACATTTGAAACAAGAGCTTGCTTCTGGCTCCCTCTGCCTTCAAAAGCAGGCCTGCCATTTGCAAAGGCTTAAGTCTCTCTAAAAGATGTTTGACTGTGAATAAACCAGTATATTATAAAACCAGCCTGTAACATTTGTTGAATGAAATATGGGTCAGATTTATGTGATTGTAAATGGAACCTTGTTAATATCTTGGCACATGCCTAATTCATTTTCCACAAGACACCACATACTCAAATCTGCTGCTGTGAATATAATTCTGAAAATGTGTCAGCAGCCTTTCAAGTTGAGTGCATGAGAAAGAGTCATTGAGCTGGTTGTCGTTCACAGACATTCCCTTAATTTGATCAATAGAATTGCCCCATTCTTTCCTTGATGTAATGTTTGCAATTTTTTAAGTGTGTGTGAACCAGTGTTATTACTAGAAGTCTTACATGGCTAGTGATCCTTAGTTGCCATCGTGTTACACACAGCAATTCCAGACAACTCTGTTTACATATCATGATCAGCTCTCACCTCTAATGAGATCTAGTTAAGGTCGAGGTGACCCAGTCTTGAGCGTTCATGTGCATGCCATTGGCTCCTTCATCACCTGCTTCCTGGAGCCTATTGCATCCTGAATAATTAATGAAAATGACATTGTCAATCAATCTTCAAATTCAAATGTATAGTGTTAAGCGAGTTTTATTGAAAGAGCTGATAAGTAGGTTGTTTTATTGTTCTTCAATCAGAACATGTCACATGCGATAATGGTGGTCCAGAGACCCTCAAGTTGAGTTTGATGGTCCTCTCCAATAACGAGCATGGATTTAATGAGGATATTGCTCAAACACATTGCCGTGACTTGAGGCATCATTGAGAATCTGTATGGGAGTGTGAAATAAGTTTTTATGTGATTTTTAAGTGAGTTCTAATCCATTCACGTCCACAGAATATGATTATGTATGCATGGATGTGTACCATTGGATCAGATGGTTTTTAGTTAAACCCAGAAATTGATGAAGCTATTTAAGGGCATCTATGGTGCTTGAATAAATCTTTAGATTTTACCGTAAGTTAATGTCATGGACCCATAGTGTCATACTTTCTTTCAAACACTGAAAATGTAGTAGTGAGCTTAGAAGTTCCTTGTGCAAATGACATGGTTTCAATTCTAATGGCAGGTTAAAGAGTGCTTGGATACTATTGGATATTATACAGGGCATGGTAAAATGTTATGTTGTGAGTGGATAGAATGAGATTAATAGACAGCAACTTCTGGATCCAGACCGTAACCAGTGTTTTCTTGATAGCTGTTGAGTTGAAAGTGTTCTGCTTGATTCAACTGTTATTCAGTATTATAATGACATTGAGTATAGGGCAGTATTGATTACAAGAATATAAGACAGTTTGTATGAACGTGAAATATCATTGATCAAAAGTATTTGTTACCCCAATTGCATTCTAAAGAACTTATTCAATTAGCACCTTCATTCATTTCTATCTCTTGTAATGTATTAGATGCATTCATGTGTCTGTCATGTTCAAAATGTTGAGAAAAGGTTGAAGTTCATACCAATATATGCAGATGTGAACGATTCTTTTGATATTTTGAGAATGAATGTTTGAGTACTCAGTGTTACAACAAGTCAGTGATGTTGCACATATTGTATTTGCAGGTCAATGTCCGTGTTGTCACTATGGACGCAGAACTGGAGTTCGCGATCCAGCCAAACACAACTGGCAAACAGTTATTTGACCAGGTAGGAGTTGTTTTCTTTCTGTCAAAAAACCCAAACTAGGCCGAATGGCAGACAATTAATGGTGGCGTAGGCAATATCATGTATGAGTTGTCACAGGTGTTGTAAAGTAATGAAACATGGCTCCCTCTCATCTATTATGTTTCAAGCTTTGTTCGCACCATAGCAGAACTAATGGGTTTTTCCTCCAAGTGGTAAATCTCTTACCTGCATCATTGTGGCGATAAGAGTTGAATACTCGTCACAAAACACATGAGTTCACCTGTTGCCTGTGTTGTCATTTGTTATATGTAATACAAAGCATAAATGGTTTTGGTTTTTCCCTACACATCAGAACCTCTACCAATACTTATTGCACCAGGTAATGGACTCTGTGACTTATGTTAACACAATGCCATTTAGAAAGTGATCAAATGTAACGTTATATTTGGGATTACACTTTCTTAGTAAAGTACAAATTCTAGTACTTCCCATTCAGGATTGTGGAAGTCGCGGTGGCTGAGCGGATTAGGCTGCTGACTTTGTGTGTTGGCGATTAGGTGCCTGACTCTGAGGGTGTGGGTTCGAATCCCAGATGGGTCTCAACCCAACAAAAGTACTAGAGTACTTAAACTAACTCACTGATCCAAAATTGCTTACAAGACTATCCCAGTCATATTGCTGATTATGCGGAAATAAGAAACAAACATAACAATAATGCACCTGTTGCACTGCAGGTGTTTTAATCAATGATGCTGATTAGAGCTGTAATCAAAAGAACCAGAAGATCAGTACATATCACCCCAATCCTGAAAAATCTCCACTGGCTCAAAGTTGAGGACAGAATCAAGTTTAACCCATTCAACACCGTAGGCCGGAAAACCGGCCAAGACATCACGAGTCCCCAGACACCGTAGGCCGGAAACCTGGCCAGGCAGTAGTCACATCAAAATGATCTATAATTTTAGGAACCTAACTAACATATGATTCTTTTATCAAATCTATCACTTTTCACAATGTCTGAAAACACTCATTAAATTTCAAATGACCATATATTATCGACCGGATTAGAATTATAAACTTTTTTTCGCAATGTTATTGAAATAAACAATTCTCAGACACATGCTTCGGCAAGGGTCCACGGCAAAGTTGTCAAAGAGCAAAGTAACGATGTTTCGAGAAAATAATTAAACAACCTGAATAAACTGAAGACTAAAATCCACAACCGTACTCATAAAAGTTGTCAAACGTATATTATAACTTGCTATTTCCATCTTTTTGAGCGATCGTGTAATGTAATTCAAGTGACATCTTGGCTTTCGTCGCCTCGAACTTCATGCTCGGACATGATGTTTAATGCTAAAATATATGCATCAAGCATTTTTGTCACAGGTCATAACCTAGCACGATACATCCACTAAGTTCCATAATATGCGTATAGGTGGTGATTTATTGCGCAACACGTTCAGAATAGCGTGATTTTACCCAAAACTTTCGCCTGAATCATTAGTTTTCGTTTACGAGGACGTTATCCATTGCTGTAATGTGATCGGCTGCCTTAGGTCACGTGTACAATTTTGACCAATCACAATCCTTATATCAGACTGTGGCGATAAAGCGTCATTAGAAACCAATTTTTATCCAATAAAATCGCTTCTTACAACTGTGAAAATACTCTTGGCAAGGGAACAGTGACATTGATGTTCAGAGCTTTCAAACGATACCCGCCATCAAACGAATTGCCTCACATGTTATTCATACGAAGCTTCAAAAACCGACGTATTTCCCGCTGAGCGGAAAGTCACTGATATCGGGAAATAGACGACCATACATATTATTTGAGAAATCTTTTTAAAAATAATTTTTCGATTACGTAAAAATGAAAATATAGAAGAAAAAGGTATGAGGATATTATGACATATTACAAATGGAAAAACTTACCGCATTTTTTGCTCCCTTCGTGGTTTATCATTGTAAATTTTTAAGCTTGCATTTTCATTAAAAATTAAATTAATTACGTTGTGGTTGGATTATTTGAATAATATGATCAAAAATAAATTTCATATTTATAAACAGTAGGATTAGACCTTTCAAATGGTGTATGATATGTAGAGCAATAATCTTTTACAAGGTGATATTACCTCAGAGCCTCTGGGAACTTGGTGTCATGGCAGAAAAAGCCTCTGGTGTTGAAAGAGTTAAAGTGCTGACTCTGACATTCTGTGCTATCCACCGCGATGCTCCTCCATACATCTCTGAACTCATCCAAGAGTACAAAGCTGAGAGAACTCTACGTTCCTGTAACCAGTGTCTTTTGAAGCTTCTGTCAGCTCGTACATCATTTGGCAAGAGAAGTTTTGAAATCTCAGCCCCCCAGATATGGAACTCCCTCCCACTTGAAATAAGAAGTGCCCCTGAGTTTGAATCATTCAAATCACTACTGAAAACACATTTGTTTAAAGTCTGCTACTGTTACACTGTGTATTCCCAGGACAGTTCATTGCTCACTAGCGCTTTTGAGGAGTTGATTATATTGAAAACAAGCGCTATACAAGTGTATATTTATTATTATTATTATTATTATTAATTCTGTGCAGAGTTGTATGCCAGGATACACCTGGCTCCGATTTGTCGAAACAAACTTAAGTCTGAGTTTTGACTTTAGTAAGAGTTTTTACTCAAATTTTAGAAAATGCATTTCCCAAAATGAACTGAATTCGACACCAAACTCAAACTTTGTAGACAATTTGAGTTTTGAGGATAGATTACGGAAGTTGTTTGGGATTTTTTATTTATAAAATGCAGTTGAGTTAAAATTCAGCTGTTTCAAATTGTCAAACTCAGTTTGAAATTTGAGTAAAAAGTTCAGTTTGTTTCGAGAAATCGGGGCCAGGCCTATTGTCAGAGGCAGTTAACAGGATCAGGTGGTCAGGCTTGCTGACTGAATTTATGCATGACATCAAAGCCCAGTTCAGTAAATCGATGCTTACCGTGTCTTTTTTGTCTGGTCCTAGCTCTATTGACAAATTGCCCTGATATAGCTGAAGTATTGTCGAGCGCGATGTTAAACAACAAGCATGAATACCCAAGTATGACTGAAATTCTTTTTGAAAGTGTTAAACACATCACCCCTCATTACACCCCATCACGACACCTCATCACGACACCCCATCACGACTTTGAGCACTTGGGGTACAGTTCGTGTAGTTAGTTATTGATGTTCTAAACACATTTTGTAATATGAAATGTAGTAAATGTTTCACTTTCTTTTCTTTCTAGGTGGTCAAAACAATTGGTCTGAGGGAGATTTGGTTCTTCGGACTTATGTACATAGATAATAAGAATTGTATTACTTGGTTAAAGTTGAATAAGAAGGTGAGTTTGTAATGTTTATATTAAGCTATTTGTGAAGTCATGCTTGCATGGTTGGTGTTTATCAGAGACAGACACTGTAATTACAGATCTTCAGCTGATGATAGCATTTTGATATGAATGTGTTTTGTAATCAGTTGCTTTCTGCAAGTGATACAGTTTTGATTATTAAGCCAATGAGTCTTAAATATTTTAAATATCAGAGTGTATGTGTTTCTTGAAGGGTGTGTGTGTCTATTTATTTGAAATAAAGGCTTGCTGGCTTGGTTGACACATGTCATCGGTTCCCAATTGTGTAGATCGACACTCATGCTGTTGATCACCGGATTGTCTGGTCCAGACTCGATTATTTACAGACCGCCGCCATATAACTGGAGAGCGGCGTTAAACTAAACTCACTCACTCACTCATTTTGATGTCACATAAAATATGGACTATGAACACCAGTTATTTGTTTTCCAGGTGCTAACTCAGGATGTTAAGAAAGAACAACCTCTACAGTTTAAATTCAGGGCAAAATTCTTCCCAGAAGATGTATCAGAAGAACTTATTCAGGAGATCACACAGGTAATGCAGTATGTTGATTGAGTAGTTGACACTGGTCATTGTTCTAATGTGAAGCCCAATTATGGTGTCCCCTGCCGTGATATTGCTGGAATATTGCTAAAAGCGGCGTAAAACCCAACTCACTGACTCACTGACTCAAATGTGAGGCATGTGACAAGCCACTACATGTTTAATTTTAATTTTTTGTATTTTTTTCGTTTTTTTTCTTCAGGTATACGTACAGGTTGACATGTGTAAAAGTATACTCTTGAATACATACGTGTAAGGTTGATAATACTTCAGTATGATTGTACAGAGTCAATAACATTGTTACATGTACATCGAAACAACTTACCTACTCAACGGTTCTAAATAGCATGTATAAACTGGACCATAGTTTTAGGAAGTAGGGTTCCTAGTCAAGATTAATGTGTACATATTTTGTGGTACCATAATATTGTCACTTGATGTATGAAATATTTGGAATGAAGCCTTTCTTACTACAGTTGTATATGATATTCTTGACTAAAATAATTATCTCATTTAATGCATAGTTCCTTTAATCCCAAACATCACCTGGGAATTTATAAGCCACTACATTTTTGTGGGTTCTTTTTGGTTCCAAATGTGTAGAATTATTTGCAATAATGTACCGCTTAGTGTTTGTCTATTTTGTGAGTTTTTAATGGTTTGTGCAATAGCAGTAAAAAGAGCTAAAATAGTGATGATCGTGAAATCCTAGCTTTGGACATTTTTAATCAGTATGAAACTGTCACTTTAAGTCTCTTATTGCTCGGTCTAGATTGTGATTTGAAATGGCCACCATAGTGTCGTGCATCAGGTTGCCTTCAAACAGCCGGGTTCATGGAATTGAGTTTTATGTTTTCAGGAGAACTATTTATTCCATAGTCCAGATAAATCTGAAGTAAATCTAATCAGTGCAATGATTGTAAGTATGATTGTTTTTTGTGTTCCAGAGAATGTTTTACCTTCAAGTGAAAGAGGGCATCTTGAATGATGATATTTACTGCCCACCAGAAACGGCAGTCCTCCTAGCTTCCTATAGCTGTCAAGCAAAGTATCATGATTACAGCAGTGACGTTCACAAACCAGGGTTCCTTTCCAATGACAGATTACTGCCCCAGAGGTAAGACCTGTTCGTTGATATGCTCTGTGGCCTTCTCAGCTTGAGTGCACTGAGGGTAATCTAGGTTAGAATTGATGGTTTTAATAGGCAACTTAATGGATCATGCCACTTAGTTGATAGCATGTCACTGTCTAAAGCATGGCTTGTTGCTCCAAATATCAGTGACTGGATTTATTGGTTCAGGTTTAACAATAGCTAGAGATTTGTTAAATGTGTGGTGTACAGATTAAACTGAGATTGTTATACTAATGGTACAATCAGTTGGTGCATGTTTTGACTCTCCCGTTTGAATATCAGCTAAAAGTTTATTGTCGCATCAGCAGTTTTCTGTCTGATTACTATTTGTATCAGGTTTTCTGTGAGTTGTCGAACCACAGTTAGCAAGATTATTCATAAAACAACATAATTCAGTCTTTTAAAGTCTGGAATGATGTTGTTTGATCAGTATATTAGTAATACCTAACCATAAATCATGTGATAAATAAGAAGATAACCATATTCCTATGCAACAAGGAAGCTAGTGAAAGCAATACAACTGCAGACCATGGCTTAGTGTATAGAGCGTCTGCCTTATGAGCAGATGATTTGGCAGTATCATACCAAAACTGACAGGAACTATAAAACAGCATTAGTGCACACTGGTACAATCTCCAACCAATTAGTGGTGGTCCGATTAATCGAAATAATCGAAGAATTGTCGCAGTGATTAAATTACCAAGCAATCGATAATGTTTTCTCATGGTCGGACACAAACAATTTTGGAACACTTGCATTAACAATATTTTTGACAAGGTTGGTTTTGTCTGTTACATTTCATAAGGACTACAAGCTTGTTCCAAGTCATGATTGAATTTATCTTAAAGAAATTTGTTCCTAACATACTAGTCATCCTTTAAAGATGTGAAATTTGCGAATGCATTTTGTGCAATTTGAAACCCCCCACCCAAAAGAACTACATGTTCTTTATTTATGTTTTGTGCATTAACAAACATAACCAGTAACATGTGATAAATGAAGCTAACCAATTATTTTCAATGATTGATCGGTTCTAATAAACCAATCATCAATTATGAGATTTTAATCGATTCCCAACACTGCAACCCATCACTGTATAAGTGCAACAATTTGAATTGGACCTTGAACACTTGGGAAGTGGTTTGAATGTGGTGTCCTTAGGTACAACTTGTGTCTAATAGTGTAGACGTTGTGATAAAGATCAGCATTGTAATATATGTTGAGATAGTGTAATGCATGACTGTTTTTGTACTTCTTCAGAGTATATGATCAACACAAGCTGAGCCGAGAGCAGTGGGAAGAACGAATCACAACCTGGTACTGTGAACACAAATCAATGACCCCGTAAGTTGACAAGTGTTTACCTTACATATTCAGTTACACATAGGCTGTCATATTTGTGTCTTGCAACTTTACACCAACCGCTAGAAAAACCATCAACCAGAAACACAAACATCCAGAATACCTCCAGAAGTATCACCAGCCAAAGAGAAATATCACCATCCAATTAAATACTGTAACATCCGACTATGGGAAACAAAACCAACCCAACCGATGCTCTGCGGTCCCATTGGAAACGCCACCCTCCCACCAAAAACACCACAGTCTACAAATAAGCCACCTCAAGTATCACCAGCCCATTGGATATACTAACTTGCAACACTGCAGACACCACCCACCCACCAGATGAACTACCCTCCATTCCAAATGTCCCCGACCGCGTCATACTAAAAGACGTTAAAATATGGTACTTGTTGGTCCCTGCCTGGTGCTCGGCATTAATGGGTACAACAAGGACTGGTCGGCTTGGAGTCAGTATAATGTGTCTGAGTGGGGTATTCTTGCCTCACTGCGGCATGGTATCCCAGTGGGCTAGCACTATAAAACCAGCTTAAGTCTGGGCTAGTACAAGCAGATACACATACACACGCATGCACTTCGTCATATGAGCGAAATATTCTCAAGCACGACTTTAAACCCAATTTCACCTCACCTCCATTCGAAACACGACTTTCCCACCAGAAACACTGCCAACTAACCAAAAACACAACCCTCCCTCCTAAAACAACAACCACAAGCAGTACTATCATCCCAATGAAAACACACCGTACCCTACCCTACCCTACCCAACCCTAACCCTAACCCTAACCCTAACCCACCTCACCCCACCCCACCCCACCCCACCCCACCCCACCACCCCAGAAAGTCACTTAACAGAAACACCAACAACACACATGCAACAGACCTAAGTCCTTTTTAAAAAAAACAACCTGTAAAACCACTCTTTGAAACACAACACTACTGTTAGAAACCCAACCCAAACACTTGACAAAAAAAAATGTTGCCTCAGCGTATGTTGTCACATGGTGCTTCAGCGTATGTTGTCACATGGTGACTTCCTTTTGGAAGTGTGCTCTCAATTCATTTGGATTAACTGTCCACCTTCTGTTACAGAGAAGATGCCATGATGGAATACCTGAAAATAGCACAGGACTTGGAGATGTACGGTGTGAATTACTTTGAGATCAGAAACAAGAAGGGGACAGAACTCTCACTAGGAGTAGACGCACTTGGATTGAATGTGTATGAGAAGGATGATAAGTGAGTATTTCAGCTGTCATTTCTTTCCATTAATGGGCCGGTGGGGTAGTCTAGTGGTTAAAGTGTTGGCTCGTCACGTCGAAGACCCGGGTTCGATTCCCCACATATGTACAATGTGTGGAGCTCATTTCTGGTGTCCCCCGCCATAATATTGCTGGAATATTGCTAAAAGCGGCGTAAAACCAAACTCACTCACTCACTCTTTCCATTAACAAATATGACAAACTAATGTCAGGAGTTGCTGTGAAAATGTCATTTTACAATTGACTTAGAAATTAGAAAGTTCAGTGTCATGATTTACAAATAACAACTGGTTATTTTTTAAGGCTATTTTTTTTTTTATACAAGGACCTTTTGACTTGTTATAATTCAAACACTGACAGTGGGATAACAATATTTGAAGTTTATTGCGGAGGAGTGAAATGATGCTGTTGAAATCACAATGACACATGTAAGATGCTTAATTTTGAATACTCACTGGAAGTTGACTGTTTTCAGCTCTGCAGCAGTGTTTATTTGCTCTTTTACTTTCATTTCAGACTAACACCTAAGATCGGATTCCCGTGGAGTGAAATCCGGAACATTTCTTTCAATGACAAGAAGTTTGTCATTAAACCAATAGACAAGAAAGCACCAGTGAGTATACAAGCTAGAAAATTAGAAAAGGACATTAAAAGTTAACAATCTTTCTTTGAAAGTTGACATGTCAGTCTATATGTACATGATTATACCTGAGCAAGAAAGGTCAGTCTATTATTCAGTGGCTAAAGTTTGAATTAAAAAAATCTGTATCCAATCTTCAGTCGACAAGATGTTATATAAGTCTGGAGCATTACACTACATTCTCTTGATTATCTTAATTTTAATGAAAGATCCTTGGGAATGACAAGTCTTGATGGATGATCAACTTCTCTATTGTGCAATAGCGATGTGTCTTCCTTGAAAACTGTATAAGTATCTATATCAAAACGCCACTATTGCACAATAAAGGAATTGATCATCCATAAAGACTTGTCATTCCTATTATTCACAATTGGAATGCCTCTCAAACAGTTTAAAGATCCTTGATCTGCACTTTACCTGGATAAGTAAATGTCTCTCATTCCATATTAGTCATACTGGTTGGTAAGTGTTTGTTTTTGATTTCCAGGACTTCATCTTTTACGCTCCTCGCCTTAGGATATGCAAGAGAATTTTAGCTCTGTGTATGGGAAATCATGAGTTGTACATGAGGAGGAGGAAGCCAGATACAATTGAAGTGCAGCAGATGAAAGCTCAGGCCCCGAGATGAGAAACTTGCCAGACAGAGGGAAAGGTGAGGATGCCAAGACCACTCCAGATTGTGTCCCTTAAATACGTTCAAATAGCCTCCATTTTCTTAACAATAATGGTTGTTGTGGTAAGACTAATGAACTGTAGTTATGTTTGGTGGGTCTGGTACTTGTTTATTCTGGTTAAATAGCATCCTCGATAATCTCCAGGGTATACGTTACGATCACTCTCCACTATACCCTGGATGCATCCACGGCTTGGCCAGATAATTATATTACCTCCCTTTGCTGGCTCCGCATTCTCATCGTAGCCAATCAACTAAGCCGCCATTACATCCGAGCTTGTCAGTGTCAACAAAGATTGCGGTCGCAGTCTTGAAGGTTTGTTGGCAGTACCACTCAGATTTTTGGGAAAATAATACAGACAAATTGACAGATCTGAAACTTTCAAAAAAATATATTAAAGAACTCCTACATCTTTCCAAGTACCTCTGCATCAATTGTGTTGCCAAGTTTAAACGGTTAGATAATTTTAAGAAGTGAAAGCGAGTTGTGATTGGTTCGCTCAACTTCCCAGCGTAGACACCTGATTGGATAAAAAGCCAGCCAAGGGAGGTAATAAAATCATTGGGCCAAGCCGTGGATGCATCCAGGGTATAGTGGAGAGTGATCGTAACGTATACCCTGGAGATCATCGAGGATGGTTAAATAGCTGATTCCAGGAAATGTATAGAAAACCTGACTTGACCTTGGGTCGACCCTCCCCAAAATGGCCCGTCCAATGCAAGTGCTGGACGCCCTGAGTAAAGTTTGTTGTGGTTCCTCCCCACTGAATTGTTTGGATTCTCCTTGCTCAATGACAGAAATACTTTTATCTTTTTAACCCAAAATCCCATGTCCCTCCAAATATTGAATAAGTCATCAGCAAATTCAAATTTATCAAAGGCTGTTGAGCTGTAGACTGTATGAAGGGTTTTGGTTGCAGGGATGAGCTGCTGCGAGAGAAACAACAGCGAGAGATCGAGGAGCGTGAGAAGAAGCAGCTGCAAGAGAGACTTCGCTTACTGGAGGAAGAGCGGGAACAGATGAAGCGGGATGATCTAGAGAAACAGAAGGGTAGGTGTTTCCTGGCTGTGATAAACTGTGGTCAAGTGGCTATGGTGCCAAGCTAAACTTTGACATGTCTTCTCAATTGGATTGTGGTATAGAACAGGCAGATAAGAACAAGCAGGGGTGCATGTTACTATGAGTGAAATAATCATCAACATGACTTTAACCAGGCTTCACCTCCTGTCCCCCATGACGGACAATATCTTGTTTCCTCTTATGCCTGTTTAACAGGATTTAAGTTTGTCCAACGATGTCCAAGGTATAGTGGTGACATTTCAATAGTCTAGTCAATTCACCTGATTAAGGGGCAAGTAATATCCCAGAAACGTCGTGTGTAAATAAGAAAGAAGTTGCACATCCATATCAAGTGTGTTATATTAGTCAATGCCTTTTGTTGAAAAAGTGGAATGAGATATAATCTGATGACCAAATGAAGGCTGACAAAACTCAGCCATAAAAAGCATCAATACTTTTGTATTAAACATCTTGTTTCACTGTTGAATAGTCTCATTAGTCATTAGAATATCTCTTTGTGGTACAGATAGAGAATCTCACCCGAGTGTCTTTTGATATCAAATATATCACCACGAGTTGATAAAATAACAAATATCCGAGGCTTGCCGAGGATATTTTTACTTTTATCAACGAGTGTTGATATATTTGATATCAGAAGACACGAGGGTGAGATTCTATTTATCATCCAAAATCACTCTTCATTAATTTTCAATGAAAAATGTACATCTCTGAACACAGTACTGCCATAAGATTTGCAGTGCAGCGATGTCATAGCATTGTGACGTCATCAAGTTCATGACGTCATAGCATTGTGAGGGCATTGTGCAAAATCTACTGTCAAAACGATATCTCCTAGGAGATATCGCCTGATCTCACACAAGCGATATCTCCTGTGGAACACAGTTTTGGATGATAAATTGGAATATTGTCTAGTTACACTTTGGAATATTGATTTGTGTTACAGTGTTTGAGGAAATGCAGAGCAAGATGAGTGCTCAAGAGGCTGCCATTGCTGAGGAGGTCGTCTCCAGGAGGAACTAGAGCGCACCCGAATGGAGAAGGAAGAGGCTGAGAGGCAGATGCAGGCAGCTGAGAGTCTTAAGGAAGAAGAAAGGTTACAGCTGGTATGTAGTTCCTGCTGGGAGCGTCATGGAGGGTTTGATAATAGTCAGGAAGTTGATAACGGTCAGGGGTTTTCAAATACCAAACTTCCCACCTGCCCAAGGGCAAGTACATTTTGAAGTTGTACTTGCTCAGGCTGGTATTCAACTTGCACTCCTAAATGTGAGATTGAAGGCCACTTTCACTATCATGGATTAGGCACTAGCACTTGTATAACCCAAGTATATTGAAACTCTTTTTCCATAGTAGTTTCTATTTGTTTTGTGGGGCGGTGGGGTAGCCTAGTGGTTAAAGCGTTGGCTCATCATGCCGAAGACCCGGGTTCGAATCCCCACATGGGTACAATGTGTGAAGCCCATTTCTGGTGTTCCCCGCTGTGATGTTGCTTGAATATTGCTAAAAGCGGCGTAAAAGCAAACTAGGTCAGTCAGTATTTGTTTTGTCTTTATACCTTTGTCTTGCTTTCTTTCAAAAGTATGATAAAACAGTCTAAATTTGGTTTAAAAGAAATTCTGAAAAGATGTTTTCTCTCTGTAGGAACAAGAGCTGTTGGCAGCTAAAGAAGCACTGGAGAGTCGGCAGTGTGAGCTTCAGGAACAGGTGCTGTTTGTCAACAACCTGAAGGAGGACCTTGACAAGACAAAGGCAGATGCTGAGGCCAAGGAAAGAGAACTGGCCGAACAGCTGCGTGTGAGAGAGGAGGAGAGGGCACGGCAGCTGGCCGAGTTGGAAGAGCAGGAGAGGATGCGTCGGGAGATGGAAGAGAGGCTCTCTGCTGCTGTCCATGTGCACGAGCACGAGGATGATAATGAGGAACATGGCTGTAAGTTGGGATCATTGAGTTGGAATATGCTGACTGGATTTATTTTAGAACACTCAGGCAGGCTTATTACTTAAACAGAAAAACGTAAGTGAAGAGTAGTGGATATCTATTGAATAATGGAAGCATCCACTTGATGAACTTGCAACAGTCGTCTGAATGAAATGGGTCTATCTTCAGGGGCGATGGGGTAGCCAATAGGTTTGGGTATAGCCAAGATTTTCGTATTGCGATATATTGTGATGTGTTGGTGTTGGCGTATTGCAATATGTATTGCAATATATTGTGAAAGTGTAACACACGGATTTAGGTAATGAAATTACTGTTTCCTTTCTTTTGAAACAATGCCACTGGCAGGACTCAGATTTGATCGTACAAGAGATCCTTTGAAAATGTTTCCAAATTGAAGACTTGCTCTAAAGTTTGGAACTCGAGAAAAAGCGTCTGGAACGTCGTCCGCCATTTTGGTTTGTTTATCCTTATAACGAGTGCCGGTACCAATCTATTTTTTATTTACATGGTTTAAAAGTCACGCAAATGCAATTATATGACCAATAGACATTCTCAAAACTATTAATGTATAATAATATAAAGGAAATTCAAATGTTATTAGTAGTTTTGACTACATCACGAAAATTACCGATCGTGTCGGGTGAACCGGTTCGCGGAAAGTGTACTGCAATATATCGTATTGTGAAGTTCGAATTGCAATTTATCGGTTAACCGTTATTATCGCCCACCCCAAGTAGCCAAGTGGTTAGAGCATTGGCTTATCATGCCGAAGACACGGGTTTGATTCCCCACATTGGTACAATGTGTGAAACCCTTTTTTCTGTTTTCCCTTTATTGCTGTGATATTGCTGGAATATTGCAAAAAGTGGCGTAAACCCATACTCACTCACACACTAAATCTGTCTTTCACATATCTATACTATAACTGTGTTATTATCAATATATACACACCTGTTTCTAAATGACCGAAAGCATCATCTGCTTTGGTCTACTACTGTGTGACATTTCCATTGGTTGAAGCACTGGTTGTCCTCTTGGAAGAATTAATGTTATTTGTGAGACTTTCAATCAAATAGCAAGGTGATATGCTTGTTTGACCCCAAGACAGTTGCTGTTGAAATGTAGATGTTGGTTATTTGTTTCTTCCTTTTCAGCCTCAGAACTTCAAGTAGAAGAAAACTACATGAACCTGGCTCGACCTGAAGAGAGTCGTCAAGTCATAGCTGATACTAACGAGTCTCTCAGCGCCAAGTTAAAGGTAGGTTACAGGTGCAATGTTATCTGAACCCATTAAGGAATTGAGAACATTACTCAATAGGTTACTGTGAAATCCTTAGGGTTGGTACATTTAAGTACAGTAACTATGGTTATATCAGGGGACCACTGATTTTAGTTTTGTTATTACCATTATTCATAATGTGCAGGGTTTTACGTAGCTCTTCAAAACTGGTAGTCCTGGGGACTCGAGGCATATTTTGGGGGGAGTCCGTTTCCAAAATTGGGAGTCAATCAATTTGCATGAAATCAATTATCATGGACGCTTCCCATTTAATAATGATTATGTTATAATATGTGTTACTTTCAATGTCATTATAATAATGGTTGTAAACAGAATATTTACATTTTAATATGGGATATTATTACAAACTCAGAAAGTTATTTACCAGAAAAAAATGATGTTGCGTCCACAAGGACGCACATGATTTTAGTTTGGGGGTACTTCATCGAATTTCTGCGTCCAATACGCAGGAATCACGCGTTCTGTAAAACCCTGTATGTGTATTCGACTAAATTTACAGCAAATGGCCAGGACACCTAAAAAATATATTATATTGCTCAGTTGTTGTACACATGTTACTATAACTGAAGGGAGGTTCTTTAAGATTTATGTTAAACTGATGGGGAGCTGTCGTGTGAAGATGGTTCGCACTTACTTGATAATTGTAGTACTTATTAGGTTCAGAGAGCAATTTAATAATAGCTCTTTCAAGCTGCTGTTCAAAGGTATTTTGAAATTGAATATTCATCAACTGAATTTTCTGTTGTAAGCCTTCATGCGAATTACAGAGTTTGTGAATCATGTCTTTTTGAAAAACGTTTGATTTCCATCGTATGCCTGTGCGTCATAGTTGAAATTTTTAATTATTCCAGATAGGTGCTAAACAATCACGGTATGAATAAAAAGCATTTGCACAGTTGACTTTCAGTTAAAACCATGACAACAGATTCTCCTAATGTCATTACAACTGATCCCATGTGTAATTTCAGTCTTTGAGTTCTGAGCTGGACAATGCTCGTCATGAGGAGAAGATTACAAAGATGGACCAACTCCATATTGACAACAAGAGAGCTGGCCGTGACAAATACAAAACTCTAAAACAGATCCGTCAGGGCAACACAAAACGGCGAGTGGATGAGTTCGAGAGCATGTGAACAAGTACTATCGTCACCTTGATCTTGGGAACCTCCTACCCTCTCCAAGAGGGCAATCCACTCTACCACTGTGAATTGGGTTCTCATACTGAATGTTTTATTATGGGAACTACCAAGAACTGATGTACCAGTTTATATAGCCACATTTCTATCTACTGTTCTATGGACCTACTATCTCTCACCATCACTCTAGACTGAGGTCTTTTCACTCAGGATATATCGTAAGGAGGCTAATTCTGTGCGTTAATTGCCGAGAAGCAATTTTTGCCTCATGAATATGAATGGAGAACAATGTGACAGCATAGTCGTGCAGGGATCACTGACCCAGGCATGGTTGGAGGTTTACTCAATATTCCAGATGGATTTTATTAATCATTAATTCCATAAGGTCACCAAAGTGGCATTTTTAGTAGACTTAGGACTTTTCCAAGATAACATGTTTGAAGAACTATTTTTCAAATTGAAATCAAAATTACACAAGACAGCATGGTGCAAAGGTTATGTCTGGGTTGTCAAACTTGTCATTAAATATGTAAAATGATGACTTGTTTAGCTGACTAGGTATCCAATAATGCCTTTTTGTATCTGATTGATATTTTGTAACCAGACTGTACAGATAAACAATTGCTTAATACCCCAAGTACATTGTTTGTGCTTTAGTTCTGGGTGCTAGCTGTGTGTAAGCATGGGACCGTCATGCAGTCAACACCAAACAAACATCTCATCAGGGTTGTCATTCAGGCCTCGCTCTTCAACTTGGTAATTGTTCAAACTAGGACAAATTCCAGTGGACTGGTTCTCTTCTACAGTTTCCATTTTGTGAATTTCCTTGTAGTTCATGCACAGCTGATGGGAAACACATAATGGGATACTGTCTTTTCGGCAGCAGTTTCTCTCATGAATACTAAAGGCAAAACTATATATATATATATATATATATTGCCATCAAGGTTAGAAAAAGTGCCGATGTTAGCAGTTTGTCTTTTTGAAAACAGATATGCATGGAGTTCATTTTTTTACATGAATGTAGTATGTCTCCGTGCAGTTATTTCTGTGATATTCTTTGTTGAAAATTGAGCGACCAATATATCATGGCCAGTTATTTTAATGATTTTGTCACAGTTTGGTTGTATGGACCATGGAATTCTTTCTTAGCAAGAACAGCCTTTTCAGCTGGTGAACAAAATTAATTCCTCTGCTATTCTTGGAGCACCGTTTATAAAGACTCACTTTTCTGATTTTGAATGCTTGTGACGCTTTATGAATGGGAACATAACAGAATCACTATTTTTGTAGCAAACGTTTAAATATATTTTATCATTGATGGCTGTCCAGTTTGAATTTAAATGGAAATTGTATTGAGGATTGTGTTTCAAACCACATTTGTGTGATCTCATTGAAAGGAGTGCCATCTGGTGTTATAGTGTTGTGGCTATAATGAGAAGATACTGGACCATCAAAAGGAAATCATATTCAGCAAAAATCTATATACATGAAGTCTTTTGGATTTTTTGTTTTCTCTGTAATGTAACATAGCACTTGTATACAGATTATACTATAGGCTTACTTTGCATTTTCTAACTTATTTTACTCTGATATTTCTGATATGAGATTTTTAGAATAATTTTCAAATAGTGTTCAATAAAAATGGATGGAACTATTCTTGAAGAATGTATCAAAGAAAAAATTGATATTAAATTGAACAATAATTCCAATTACTATTTATCTTCTGTTTTCTGTCTTTTGTGTAAGCTTGTCCTCAGCATTATCTGTACAGAGACTTTAGAGGCTTCCAGAATGACTTCTGCGTAAGTGCAAGAAAAAACATAGTAACTTGATGACTAATTATGCCAAAATTGATAGCGGAAATTATTTTATTTATTTTTTTCATTGATATTTTTTTACTTCTGTTTGTCATTCTTTAGAAGCGCCACTTAATGCCCATGCTATACAGAATATGAGAATGGGTCAGACTGTACCTTGTCCACATGAAAGGTAATAGCTGGTACTGGGTCAGTTTGACTAAGAACATTCTACATAACCATATAGTCATAAGATGTCTCATCGAGTATGCTATGTTATCACGATTGGCAATAAATATTTCAAAACAGATAGCACATGTCTGTGGTCATTTTGACAGAAGAACATAACTGTAGAAACATCATCCGCCAAGGAATCTTTACATGAGCTAATAAAAACAGGAATGCAAGCTCCAGGTCCACCAGCTTCTGCACATTTGGGAGACCCTCTAATAGAACTGGGGAGGGTAGGGTAGCTTAGCTGTAAAGCGCGCTAGTCATGCTGAAGACCCGGGCTCAATTCCCCACATGGGTACAGTGTGTGAAGCCCATTTCTGGCGTCCCTGCTCTAATATGACTGGAATATCGCTGTGTAAAACCATACTCTTGCTGAGTAGAACTTTACTGAATGAGTGAATGAGTATTTGTTTAGCTTGCCCTATGCAGAATTGTATGTCTGTATTGTGGAGGACTATGCACGAGTTTGGGGCAGACAAAAAAGTGCTTGAAAGAATTTGCAAGGATCATCCAATGGAGCCATTCCAACAGTTGTCAAAGAGGAATCGGACGTTACACCAGACGATGCCGCGAAGTGTATATTTGGCAGGTATATTCCGAATGTGACCCACAAGTTGTTTTTAAGATGGCCTGTTGATAGGTATATTCAGGATTAGAATGAGGCCGCTTGAAGTGTAATTTAAGGATGAGAATCAAGATAGGAATGGGACCTCTTGAAGGGTATATTCAGAATTAGGATGGGACATCCTGAAGGGAATATTCAGGATTGGAATGAAACTTCTTGAATATATTCAGGATTAGAATGAGACCATCAAGAGAACTTTCAGGACCAGGCCTGTAGAATCACTCAATATGGGAATCATTCAACATGGGAACATCAGTTCTGGATGTTTACGCTCATGCTGTTGATCACTGGATTGTCTGGTCCAGACTCGATTATTTACAGACCGCCGCCATACAGCTGGAATATTGCTGTGTGCAGCGTAAAACTGAACTCCCACACTCACTGGATGTTTACATAGAGGATAAGGATAAACCCCCAAGAACTGAATGAGACCAGAAGTGTATATTCAGGATGAAAATGCGAAATTTAGGTGCATATTGCAGGGGAATATATGAATGGGAATGGGACCACTTAAAATTTGTAAGGAGGATGAATGAGACAACTTGGAAGTATAATTCGGGATGAAAATGAGACGTTATGGCGCCTTGACGTCTATGTTTAGGGAACTCCTTTAGGTATGACACACAGATGAGATAACACACCTTGAAGGGTACATTCTGTATTCTCGAAGAATACACTCAAGATGATAGTGAGATCCCCCGCTTTTGGCAATATTCCATCAATGTCACGGCGGGGGGGACACCAGAAATGGGCTTCACATATTGCGCTCATGTGGGAATCGAACCGGGTCTTCCGCGTGACGAGCGAACGCTTTAACCACTAGGCCACCCCACCGCGGTTCCAGTGGGAATGAGACATAGGAAATATTTATCTTCATGATTAAACCTCATTAAACGTTTGACAGATGATGAAACATGAATCGCTTATTCAAAATGGAATGTATATTCTAAAAGTACATCCTGTACGTTCAACCTTCAAAGTACATTTTGGCTTCTTTAGATTTACGTTACAAGTGGACATGGCGAGAACGAACGTTGTTTGTTGTTCTCAATTCACCATTACTTTCTCACCAATGGGGAAACCGCCATCTTCCTGCCCAGTAGCCGGAGCCGCGATGCGGTCCTCATCGCGGCTCTCGGCTACCTGTCCAGGGCCTCCTTTCACGAAGCACTTTAAGGTGATCGTAAGTCACGGAGGTAAGGGCGGTGGGGTAGCCTAGTGGTTAAAGCGTTCGCTCGTCACGCCGAAGGCCCGGGTTCGATTCCCCATATGGGTGCAATGTGTGAAGCCCATTTCTGGTGTCCCCCGCCGTGATATTGCTGGAATATTGCTAAAAGCGTGTTAAAACCTAACTCACTCACTCACTCACTCACTCATTAAGGTAACCTTAGTGCAATGTTAAAGAATGGGAGTTGAGGCTAACATTAGTAAAAGTTGCTCCGTGAAAGGAGCCCCAGGCCATGAGGGGCGGTGGGGTAGCCTAATGGTTAAAGCGTCCGCTCGTCATGCCGAAGACCCGGGTTCGATTCCCCACATGGGTACAATGTGTGAAGCCAATTTCTGGTGTCACCGTCGTGATATTGCTGGAATAGTGTGAAAAGCTGCGTAAAACCATATTCACTCACTCACTCCAGTCTATTAATGTAAACTCGGAAAGAAATGGCCAGATTACAGATTGTACATTTTAAGTTACGGACAGAAGTTATTATATGATTCCCTTAATTCGCCAACCATTGGAAGTACTAGAATATCTATAATAACTTGCCCGTTATAGAACGCACTCATACAATACTAATGCTCGGATGTTCAGAAGGATGAGATTCCGAAGACAAATAAAAATTGTTGTTTCCTTGTGTACTTGTTTCGAATTAAGCGCACACCTCGGCATTCTGTACATAGCGTGAGCTGTTTAGGGAACAGGAAACTACAGTAAAACAATGTGCGTTGACCTTGTGAGTTGTAACGATAACAATGCCGCCAGCGGGAATCACTTAATCAGCAGTTGTCAGATGCTGAGAAATCAATTGTTTATACATTTGAGTGAGAGAGTGAGTGTGGTTTTACGGTGCTTTTAGCAAAATTCCAGCAATATCAATGCATAAGAAGGAAATTTGCAAACTGCATAACCAGAAAGAAGACGACCTAGATGCAACTGCAGGTCAGCAAATATAGGAATTCTCAGATTGTGTGGAGAATTTGTGTATAATAACGTCTCTTAGGTGTTTAACACACTCAGTAATTTTTCAGCTACGTGGCGTCGTTCGGTAAATAAACGTATTTGTACCAGAAAAATACATTGATTGAAATGCTGAATTCCACAATATTGCAAATACTTAAAATTCCTTGAAATAATAATAATAGGCCATTTATATAGCGCCTTTCCACGTCACAGGGATATGCTCAAAGCGCTTCCTAAGACGTAAAGCAAGGACAGGTTGTGTGTGTTCCATGCTGAAATTGTCATTCTCGTCAGTTGTCTGTTCTGATGATACCGAAATGGCTCCTAATAAAGACCTAACTCATTGACATGTAAATAATTTGCAAATTCTAACTTCTTACTGAGATACTGATGAAACCCATCTAGTTATGAATAAAGATCATTTGTGTGTTCTCGTTTCTTTTCGGTTTTTTTCATACGCAAATGTCGATCTCTTTATCAACCACTGTGCAGCTATATGGCGGCGGTCTGTAAATAATCGAGTCTGGACCAGACGATCCAGTGATCATCAACATCAACATCGATCTACGCAATTGGGATACGATGACGTGTCAACCAAATCAGCGAGCCCGACCACCCGATCACATTTGTCGTAAGAGGCGAGCCCCTCATTGTAATAAAGAAGTTGTTCATCCATATATTGTTATCCATCCTTAATAAATTACTCCAACTTCTGAATTCCTCTCAAAGAAGTTAACCAACCCAAAAAACCTTTTGGTTTTAAGGAAACATTTTGCGTTTGTAAGCAAAGACAATAAAAACTTTGTGTAAAACAAATATAGAAGAACAGCACCAAATGTTTTTCCCGATATTAATTCTGTTTATGTTGTGGCGAGCTAAAGACAACCTTAGCTTGGTCAAAGGGAGGTAATTCATAAAAGAAAATTGTTATGATACAAGCGACAGCAAATCGAACTTATTCAGATCGTAAGCGACCCGGTGCGATTTGGCAAATTTCTAGCAGAAGAAATATGTTTTCGCTGTAATTGTCACCATATTTCTTCCATTTCTTGTGACACCATCTACTCAGGTATTTCGGCAGAACAATTGGAATGGTTCTGTGTTAGTGCAAGAAGTGGTGGCATTTATTCGTTTTTGATATTAATCAATCGATTTTACATTGATTTTCTGTGACTCTGTCAAAACGACTGGTCAGTGACTGAGTGACCACGGACAAATTCCCAGCGGAGTAGATAGAACCGAGTTTACTAATAACTTCTCATTTGGATCATTCCCGTGGATGTATTGGCCCTTTGCTACTGTTAAACACAGGACATACGTTTAACTTGTATGAAGTCAGCAGCACTGTGATAAACAACATCCCACCATCGATAACAATATGAGCCTAATACTAGTTTGCCGGTCGTTTTGAAACAAACGATATGGAGACAGCTGTTCACACAAAGCTGTAGAATGCAGACATCGAGTTTGCATAGTCTTTGCTTGTAACTCAAGTGGATACAACTACATCACAAGATGAGGACAATGGAGGAAGTGCTGAACCATCTGGCCAGGGATGCATCAGCCCCGAAGATGGGCGCACTAAGACAGTCCTGTGAAGCCGCTTTAGGTAGGTTGCATGTAGCTGTATGTCCTGTAGTAGCTGTTAGTGCTCTGTCTGTCTATATGATATCTAATGACACATCCACAACTATGAATCTGTCGTATCAAACATGTTTAGAAATTAAACTGAAGATATATGGGATCCTTGTCATAATCCAAATGAAGCATTTGTAACCATTACTCTTTGCTGTTGGGACGGTGGGGTAGCATAGTGGTTAAAGAGTTCGTTCAACATGCGGAAGACCCAGGTTTGATTCCCCGCATATGTACAATGTGTGAAGCCCAATTCTGGTTTCCCCTTTGACGATATTGCTAGAATATTGCTAACAGCTGCGTTAACATGGTAAAACTAATCTCACTCACTTAGCTGCTTCCTATGAATGATTTTAATATTGACATGTCACTACACAGAGCTACAGGCTGTTCAACATTGTTTTCTTAATAGATCCCCAATCCAAATCTGCATCACAGTTTGTATGCTTATGCAAAATGCATGCCTTGTGATCTATTAACAGTACAACAACATTGGCCGAATCGTCTAACGTGTTCTATTTGCTGTTCAGAGTTGTGTCCCTTGGGAGACCTTTGGTCATGGGTTTGGATTCTGATTTGCCTTAATTATGTTTTGAGGGTTGTCAGCAATCATAACTCACGGATTTCAGCAAAGTGGTCATTGTACATAAGGCTTGCAACATCTGTTGCTTTCCTCCCTCGTCAAGCTGACTTGCTGTTATATACCGAGAATAAAAAGTTAAGCGCCAGCCTATTTCAAAACTAAGATGTGAAGCTGTGGAAATGTTAAGCTAAAATAATTGGGAAGATCAATCCATATTTAGAGAAGGTTCATCTGGTAACTGATTTTGGGATATCATAATCATTTGTATTTACAATTAAAGGAAATATTGTTAAAGATATGATTGCACTGTTTTTTAAAGCAAAATAACTATTCCTATTCTGCTTGTACAACACTATTGAACTGAGGTTTCACTTGTCAAAAATGACAATCAATTGACCATATAACATTCATTTTCTGATTTTCACTTTTCAAAAGAAGGTAAACTGCATGTTTTCCAAAAGCGCATACATCCTGTTTAAAGTAAAAGATAATTTCCATAATGGTTTTGTTTTAAACTAAAAGTACTAAACCAAATCATAATAGTTGTTTTTTTTCTGAAAGATTTCCTATGAGACAACTTATATTGGCAAAATATACTGGGCGACTTTTTATTCACAGTCTATAACTGGAACACTATTCAAAGTGACGTTGAACTCACTCACATTTATGAGTGAGTGAGTTTTATTTTTACACCACTTAAGTTTTAGCAATATTCCACCAATATCATGGCGAGGGACATCAGAAATAGGCTCCACACATTGTACATATTTGGGGAATCGAACTCGGGTCTTCACTGTGACAGGCGAACCCCACCACCCCCTCACATTGTTTAAGAACACTCCTGACACATGTTAAAAAACTTTAAATCCTGCTAGCCTTCAGGATAACTTTATGATTAGATGGACGGATTCGGGCTCATTAAACACATGGAATCGAGCTAACGCCAGCTGGCTTATGAAGTCTGGTGTTGATGTTAGGTATTTTGTTTAGAGATAAAAACCTGAAGAATCAAATAAGTCATGCCTGGCTATTTACTGCTGTTTTTGAAAACAATATACTATTGCTGAAATGAGACAACTTGTTGATGTTACCCTGTCAACAACTGACAACTATTGTCAGCAGCTGATGTATTGTTCATTACACAGGGGCTTGTAAGTTATATGTAGCGCTAAAAACTGACATCTAGGTATATACTGTCACTGACAGGGTCTTAGTACTATATAAAAGGATATATTCCTTTTATATAGAGGATATTAATTATTATCGGAGATTCCACCAGTACAATTTCCAATTCAAATGGTAGAAACTCTGATTGATCTTTGGGCAAACAACAATGACACTTTCCTTGCTGAACAATAATATGCATTTTATTCAGATATAGTACTAGACTGTTTCCAGTGAAACTGTGTTTATTTCACCGGCCCGTTATACAGGTACATAGAATATGATGTATAAGAGATGAAATAAAATAAGATAAAATACCACATTGCATCAATTTAGTTGGTGAACGTTTCTTAAAAGCTAGAAATACATATTTAGCTAGATTATTAAGAAGAGAAGCATTATAAGATGACAACAATTGTACAAATTTATGGAGAGATGGAGAAGAGTAATAATACTTAGGGAGCAGGGCCATACGAAGATTAAACTTACATTCTAAGCAGAAGTGATATTGGGTACAATACAAAAAGGGCATAATCTTTTGCTCCATTGCAGGCCGATCTTTTGTCCTTCCTCGATTAGGGTGACAACTGATAGCCCTGACGATCGCCATACATACACTCAAAGAAATCAATAAAGCCTTCATTTAGTGAGACACATACTTTATATAAAAATATATGTTTTTTATCGATTGAAAAACTCTACCCTTAATAATGAAGCACTAAATATTTAGAGATAATAGTGTCCAACACAAAAATATTGTCAGTAGTTTGATTGAACAATTACAATTACACCAGCTAGTTACTGGTCAGAGAGGTGAAATCAGAGACATGTTAAGAAGGTGACATGGATCTGACAAAACTCACTATTGTGACATATTGTTTTATGTTTGTATTCGATATCTTCGAAAAAAGTGCACACATCAGTGATTATTGATAACAAATAATGTCACATTTATGACGGACCTAAATGTTGCTATTGTCATTTTGTCATGTTTGTAACAAACATCATGTTGGACAAACAGTGTGCACATTTGAATGGAAGATGTCATTCTACAATATATGAAAATAAATTTTGATTTTCTAAATATTCACTTAGATTGCAATCTCTACTAGTAGGATCAGGTTTGAGCTTCTGCTGGTAGAGATTGCGATTGTATAGGTTATTCTATATAATCAGAGTCTCTACTGGTAGAGACTACGATTGCAATCTCTTCTAGTAGGATCAGAGATTCTACCAGTAGAGACTCCGATCGCAATCTCTACTGGTAGAGACTCGGAACGCAATCTCTACTGGTAGAGATTGCGATCGGAGTCTCTACCAGTAGAGATTGCAATCGGAGTCTCTACTGGTTTGTTACTGGTAGAGACTTTTAAGTCTCACATGGCTTGGCTACATAGTTTTTGGTCTTCAGAAATATTTGGACGATGCCTGCCCTGAATTAGTCACTATAGCAGGACAATAATTAGTGGCCCTTTCTGTACTTCACTGCCCAAAAATAACATTCGTAGATTTACTTAACTATCAATACAAAATAGGGGTGGGTATTGCAGAGAATTTTCATATTGCGATATATTGCGATACGAAAGCACATATTGCGATATGTATTGCAATATATTGCAAGAATGTTTTTGTGTAACAAAATCTATTTATAATCGAGTTAATGCTTGATTTATAAAGTAAAAACACAACAAAACCACTATTCTTGATTATGCTTTATTGAAAACTTTTAATCATAACAAAATAAATAATATTTGGCACAAATGAAACAAGGAAAAGAACAATTTACCATCAACACAGTGGTTACTAGTTTGAACTAGTTTCTCCACTCTAAAAAAAAGCCCTGAGAGTTTAGACCTAGTCAGAGATCAGTGGTCATTAATGAGTAAATATTTAAAACATTCAGATCCAAAACATTGCGAAACACTTGAACAAAAATTAAGAACACAACTTCAAACCAAACTTAACTTGACTTCTGGTGTGACAAACGGAAATATTCGAAAATTTCCGAGTGTTACAAAGTTTTCCAAATGCATGTTGAAATACCGGTTTTCGATCAGCGTATTGCAATACGTATCGATTTCATATCTGAACTGGTAAATACCGGTAAACCGGTTATATTGTGCAGCCCATTACAAATTCACTGGCTGCCAGGACAACTACAAACTTATCATTTAGTGTTCCTGTTGAGTTTTTACTAGCCAGGGACCACAGGACCAGCGTAAATTTCGCACACTGAGATGGAATGACATCTGCAACAGAACCAGAGCCAGCCTGTTATGCTAGCTGAGTTGGGCAAAGCTTTGGGTGATATTTGGCACAACATTGTTCTGTTTCCAATCATCTGATGCGCCATTAATGCCTGGACAGTGTCAATGCAAATGATGGTCACACCCTGCATTGACATTGTGGACGGAGTTGTTGCACCACCCTTTTAGGGCGTGTCACCCCATCTCCTGTAACCAGATATGGGTTCTGTCAGTGTATTTGTTGTAACAAAACATTGTTGTGACAAGTGTGTCCGACTAATTGAAATAATCGAAGATTGGTCGCAGTGACCAAACGACGAAGCAATCGATCACATTTTCTCATAATCGATCACAAACGACTTTGGAACTACTGTTTTAGTGTTTGAAACACTTGATGATGGAACATATCTTAGAAGTTGTCAGGGCATGAAAACGTGTTTAATTCTTAGAAAACTTTTTACATTGGATGTGGAATTTATGCAGTTTTTAAATAAAACAAAAACAACAGAAAACCTATGTTTTTTTTCTGTATACTTATGTGCATTAACAACCTGAACAGGAAAATCTGCAAAATGACGCTAACCAATTTGTTTCGATGATTGCTCGCTGGTAATGAACCAATCATCAATTATGAGAGTTCAACCAGTTCCCAACACCAGTTGTGACAAACTACAAACAATTATGTTGTCCTTTTCTTTAATACCACTTTATATGAAGCACAGTTACTTTTTATCCACAGGTATATACACACTGATATACTCTAAATAATAATTCAAAAATACAATACAGACAGCTTGGTAATGAACATGAATATGTGATATCTTATCGGCTTTTTCAAATATCAGAAATTTTAATAACTATGAAAATTTTATGAAAATAATGACCCTAATTCTATTCAATCCAATTAGTACATAATAACCATGGACCTGATTAATTTGTGGATTCGGGGATTATTTGTATTCCAGGTATTGTAGCAACTGAAATTGCCTATCAAGCTATTACTTTTCTCATCAAAACCAAGAAATAAATGGTTACTGACGACATTTTCAGACTTCCCACAAAACCCTGATCTATTAATGAGAGGATTTATAACTGATAAGTGAAATACATGAAACTGATATTCTTGGTGCCAGTGCTACAATAACATCTGAATAATAGTTATTTATGATTGTATTAATATATTCTATCCAAGACAATGCTTAATAATTAGTGCATGAAGGCTCACTGTAGCATCACTGTTCGAGGATGGTGATGATGACTTTGATGATGATGGTCGTGTTAGAATACAAAATTATTATCATCATTATGGATACTGTTATCTCAGTTAGCCTCTGTTTTTAAATACTTGATGACAATCATTGACATACCTTTCTGCCGATAGTGTATGGTTGGTAGTGGAAATGAAAATATAATTTGAAACATATTTTTTTTATATACTTGCCGGTCAGGTGATGTATAATATGTACAACTAGGAGTCAAAGAGTGCGTTTGATTCCAAAATGTTTGTGAAGTATTTTTGTTACTGATCCAAGTGAACACACTGGACTGGAGGAAGAAGAGACTGTTCTCAAAACTGTATTTATATTCTACATTTGAAAGATTTAAAGTCGATGGATAAATGTACCAACTTATAAATATGTGCATGATGTTAGCACATAGACTATACAACATCCAGCTGTAGAAATTAATCCTTTTTTTAAACTAATACAGAGGATTAATGGAAACTAAAGCTGGTCCTGCCTGAATAATATACAAAAATGTTTACTGTTTACATTTTCTGTAAGTTTTGTTGTTACGAGATTGAAACTCTGTGAACTGGTTCAGAATCCAAATACTGTTATTATACGATGTGCTACTTGTTTTGGGGAACTACCATTATAGGTTTTTACTTGTGATCAGCGCAAAGTTGTGTCACAGCTCACAGACTATTTCTAAGGCTGGACACCATGTGTGTGTTTTTCCAGTGGCTGTTTATATGACAAGTAAAACATCTCCTGTTAACACACAATGCAACATGGCAGAGGGGTATGCAAAAGTACATGATCTAGACTACAAGTTGTCAGACCTCCATTTTGGTGGACGCTGTGGTGGCTGAGTGGGTTAGATCGCTGACTTTACAGGGCTCGATTTAGTGCTTTCCCATACTCACCAAAATGTGCTATAACTGTACCTTAAAATGTAATTCAAATGTAGCATATCAACATCTTCTAGGATGTGGCATTATTCTGGGTTGTGGGTGAAAAAGAACCCTTAGATACGGTGTGCGTAAAACAACAGATGAATAGATCAGAGATGGGGATCTGGAAATGTTGCAAGTGAAGCCTTACAGTTGACCTGTTGTATGTTTCAGCCCTGCTGGAAGATGGGGGGATCACAGCGTGTACCCCTGCCTCAGATCTGCGGGAGAAATGTCTCGAGCCACTGCAGACGGCGCTGGAATCACGGGCCAAGAGGCTGGCTGGACATGCGGTGGCAGGGCTACAGGTGGGACATATAACCTGCTTATGAACCCATTTCCCATGGTTAATAAACAGAAATATGAAATATTTGTTTGTTTTTGTTGCTTAATGCCACACTCAGCAATATTCCAGCTATATGGCGTCGGTCTGTATATAATCAAGTTTGGACCAGACAATCCAGTGATCATGAGCATCAATAAATTGTTACAATCGGTCAGGTTAGGTAAAGAACAAATACAATGATGTTTTTAAGTAGTGAGATTAGTTAACAGAGCTGAGGTGAATAAGGAAAGGCTGCTCTCAAAATTGAGCCTTTTTTCATTTGGTAATTTACTTAACCTGTAAAACTGAGTGAAAAAATCACAAAAATAAAATGCATCTGATAATTAGCTGTCAGTGATTTGTGTGGAAGTCTTGAAATCTGTATAAATATGTGGAACCATATGTGCAGAAAAATTTTAGTTGTATACAGTCATCCCTTGCCATAATGTTGATCTTGTGGTCCATGGATGACCCTCGCAGTATGTATTTCGATAAGAGGAAAGAGATTGCTGGATTTCTGAACAAAGACACTGCATTTGGGAACTTTTACCTTTTTTCCTCAGCAAATTTTAGTAGATGAGCGCTTCCAATCAAACTTGGAGTCTGACAACAATGAGGAGAAGCTGCTGCCAGTTCAAATCCTCAATGCAGTGTACAGCACACCAAACCTCCCCGAAGACATACAGGTTGAGATCATCAAGGTACGATCTCATTTTTAAAACATAGCAAAGAGGTATGACAAGGGAAGTATTTGCCATTGTAATATTGTAAATATTGTTATAGAATTTTAATGGCATGTTTCTGTAATATTCCTTGGAAGAGGCCTTGTATGTTTGGTTTGTCTTCAGATTATTACATTCAGATTCCAGATTCCAGAATATCCAACCACATGTACATGTAAAGGTCTAAAATGCCTAAATATCAGGAGCTTCTGGGGGCTTCGCCCCCCTTGTCCCCTCACCAGGCGCTGCCCTGGACCCGGCTAGTTTTCAGACCCCGGCTAGTTTTCAGAGTTTTTCTCAAGACTTCATTCTCATCCCTGCATATTAGACACTGTGGCCTTCACTAAAGGTCAAGGTCACTAGAATGTTCAAGGCAATGTAGGCTCAGGTTATAACCTACAGACCCAAGAATGTGTTTTTATTGGTGGTTTTCTGCATTAAATGGCCAATGAGAAATCCTCACAGATTTCTCATGTAGGGATTTCTGGTTTGAATCGGTGTTCAGCAACCTGCGCTGCTAATAAGGGCCGATTATATTGGATTGGGTGGTCAGGTAACTAGTCTGATTGTGTGTTATCAGCTAGGGGCAAGGGTCATTGTTCGCAATATCGATCACTGGACCCTCTAGTTCATCCTGGATGAGCATCTATCTATGCATATTATGATACTGACCATGTGATCCTGTTAATAGCTTTTTACCACTGAGACATGCATGGGTTGATGAAGACCTGGTGTGACCTTGATCCTGGTGTGTCACTGAAGTAGGGTATAGTGAGTGAGGTTAGTTTTATGCCGCACTCAGCAATATTCCAGCTATATAATAATACGTCATCTTCTATAGCACACAGTCTCCAAACACCTGCTCGCGGCGCTTAATCAGAATCTGATGATTATTACCCCGGATAACCCATCTGCCTGTTAGGCGCTAGAAGGTTATAGTCACATAACTTTATCCAACCGGGTACCCATTTTCTGCTGGGTGAACAGAGGCAATTTTGAACAAACTCACTTGCCTAAGGTGAGACCACATGTATCACATGTGCTTGTTGTGGGGCAGGACTGAAGTCCTAGAAACTCTCAGGACTCAAGCTGCACAACACGGTCACCCATCCAAGGACTGTCCGAGCTCGACGTTGCTTAACTTCAAGTGATTCAACTGAGCTGTGTGCACAGGACCACATGCTGCCACATATATATGGCAGTGGTCTGTAAATAATTGAGTCTGGACCAGACACTCCAGCGATCAACATCGATCTACATAATTGGGATACAATGACATGTGTCAGTCAAGTCAGCAAGCCTGACCACCCAATCCCGTTAGTTGCCTCTTACGACAAGCACGGGTTGCTGAAGACCAATTCTAACCCAGATCTTCATGGGTGAATTAGTGTATAATTAATCACAAGAGTGACATGCATCTAAACGCATACACCATGAGACAGAGAGTCTGTTGTTATTACCCTGTGTTGTTTGTATTTCAGTTGCTGCTGAATATGACTTTCTCTACCACCTGGTGTATGAATGCCAAAATAATCACCAAAGTTTGCCAGGTGAGCTATCATTTCATCCCTTGTAATACGTCCCCCTGCAGAACTACTGCAGAAGATTGTGAGAAACCTTTTCTGAATTCACAGTCTCCAGTATTCACACCTAGCAGTTTACTTACAGAGTTGCCTCCCTTAGGGATTCAAGGATCCAATGACAGTGGTTTGAATCAATCTATTTGCATGATTTGTGATCCTTGTTTTTTGAGCACCATACCCAAGATTTCGCCAAATTGTAAGACTTTCCTCGTTTTATCCCCAAAATGCCAGGCAGGGTTATATACACAGAACAATCTTTTGATCTCATTTGTTATGAATAAGTTATGTTAAGACTTATAGCAAATAATACAACTGAAAACTGGGCCTTCAATAGATAATATTAACAATATTTGAAGAATGACACAAGCATAAGTGTATGTATGTTGTATCTGAAAGAAATAGATTTTCTTAAATGCTTCTAAATTCAATTTCCCTTTTTTGTTATGCCAGTTGCATGGGTTCAGAATTTTTATTGTTTATTTGCATGTCATTTTTTCAGTTGGCACATTGCAATTTTTCTTCTTCAGAAGGTATAATTGTGTTAATCAAATGGAGATAATTTTGACAATGTAATTAGCTTCATGTATCAAGAAAGATGAGAAAAATATTCTGTGAGAAATGGGATTAGAATTTTGGTATATTTTTCGAATTATATTTTACTCAAAATAAGTTAAGGAAGACAAATTCACTGCAGTAATATGAATGAATCTGCGAAGCAGGAATTTTCTAATCTCACCTGTACTGAATGTCAGGTAAGTTCAATCAATGGCTGCTTGTCCAGGATCTGCTGTTGCCATTATTTCCTTAGTAGCCAGAGGATAGAGGAAGGTGAAACTTGTATGCTTGTTTCTTTGAAAGCTTATACCTGATTTTGTTCTGGAGCTCATGTGCTTGGTGCTACTTGTAAGTGTCGTACAAAACCGATTATGAGTCACTGCTCCCATATTAAACAGAATGACCTTTAATGAAGGTCAAGGTCACTAGAATGGTCAAGGCTCTGTATGTTTGTGGCCTAAACTGAACCCTGCGTTTGTGTTTGTGAGACCTAGCATGCATGTTTATTTTCTTCCAAAAAGAAAGCGTTTGATTGGCCGTAATTGAGGGTCAGTTTCATGAACATCAATAAAATGTTACAAAATTCTTAAAAAGCGATTTCTTCTAAGTATTTTTGGTCAGGTTAGGTTAGGGTTCAGATAGTTTTCGTATAAAAGTATTTGGAAACATAGACTTTATCTGTTTGGAAGTAGTCTGATATGAGATAAATGTTTTTATACAAGAAGGCCAAATACAACTGGAAGTACTCACAACTAGTTACTAAGGTCATTGTACGCATTTGGATTGCTGTAGGGTCAATCTATACGAGACATGTGTTGAACTGGAGGGGATATCATAAGTATATATTTCCCAAACCAGAAATTTGTCATCAAGGTCATTTAACCGGACATCAGGTTGTAGTACGCATGCTCATAACTAGAGTACTGTCGGAAATAGAAAAAACTTTTTTCGCATTTATATCTACAGTTTGAGTCGTTAACATGTGAAAGTATGAAATATCTGTTAAACTAAGTTCGGCCTAACTACAGTCACAATGGTAGGGAGATAGGAAATGTAGAAAAAGGACTTTACTGAGGAGAGATTAGTGCAAAATGAGCAATGCGAGGTTTTTCTAAGTCCAAAGCGACTTATTTGGAACAGACCATGGCTTTATGCAAATTAGTGTGATAGTAATGATATTGTATTACAAAGGACACTTTTTAAATTTCCATTTTGAAATTAAACTTAGCTTCATTATAAATGATAGCTGACGTACAAAATAATACTGAAACTATTAAGGATGTAGCTAAGGATATGGGTTATTTCGACATATGCTATTTGCAATTGTGTAAATTTTAGGGATACAGAGTAACAGCCTAAGAACAGTTTTGTTCTTTTTCCAACAGTACTTTAGAGGTAATAACATGTAATGGTTTTTTAGGTCTTCTGGAAAACACTACGTTGGGACAGCGTCAATGTCTACAAATACATTTCAAAGTTTTTTTGTGGACAATGAAATGGAATTTTGTTTTTGACTTTTGTTAAAACTAGTTGCCCTCTTCCACCACATCCTTCTGTTCTGACATGCTTACTGATTGGTGCTAAAGACCTCTTCTCTTAAAGAAGTTAATTTTAACAGTTCGTATTCTATTTATAGTGTATTGAGATCTCACAAGGTGATGATTCAAGTATTCTTCAATGATATCAGATTTTGGTCAAAATATACATGTACATATGTTCTTTGTATCATTTGACCTAGAATTTAGAAAAATCAGTTTTAGAGTTTATCATTCCACATTAGAGCCACATTCAGTCATCTGCTGTTTCAGTCTTTACAGGCTGATTAAATTATCTATGTTGGTAAAATATTGAATACTGGTATCAAGTAACAATTGCTCCTCGCTGTATTTCATATATTGTAAAACACCTGTGAAGGTCCGGGTTAGAATATTGATATTGCTTGTTGTAAGAGGTGACTAACGGGATTGGGTGGTCAGGCTCGCTGACTTGGTTCCCAATTGCGCTCATTGATGCTCATGCTGTTGATCACTGGATTGTGTCGTCCAGATCCGATTATTTACAGACCGACGCCATTTAGCTGGAATATTGCTGAGTGCGGAGTAAATCTAAACTCACTCACTCACTATATTGTAATACCTCCTTATTCTGGACCTCTTAATCTGGATACCCAGCTGATGGTTACTGCTAAGAAGGTTTACATGCATACCACTCAAAAGATGTTAAAGAACCCCTGATATTTTCACATGGCCATTGTTAACCTGTCATGACATGACATGTGTTTCACATGGCCATTGTTAACCTGTTATGACACGACATGCTTTTCAAATGACCATTGTTAACCTGTCATGACATGTGTTTCATATGACCATTGTAAACCTGTCATGACATGACATGTGTTTCATATGACCCTTGTAAACCTGTCATGACATGTGTTTCATATGACCCTTGTAAACCTGTCATGACATGACATGTGTTTCATGTGACCATTGTAAACCTGTCATGACATGACATGTTTCATGTGACCATTGTAAACCTGTCATGACATGACATGTGTTTCATATGACCATTGTAAACCTGTCATGACATGTTTCATATGACCATTGTAAACCTGTCATGACATGACATGTGTTTTATGTGACCATTGTAAACCTGTCATGACATGACATGTGTTTCATATGACCATTGTAAACCTGTCATGACATGATACGTCTTTCATATGACCATTGTAAACCTGTCATGACATGACATGTGTTTCATATGACCATTGTCAACCTGTCATGACATGACATGTGTTTCATATGCCCATTGTAAACCTGTCATGACATGACGTGTTTCATGTGTGTAAACCTGTCATGACATGACATGTGTTTCATGTGACCATTGTAAACCTGTCATGACATGACGTGTTTCATGTGACCATTGTAAACCTGTCATGACATGACGTGTTTCATATGACCATTGTAAACCTGTCATGACATGACGTGTTTCATGTGACCATTGTAAACCTGTCATGACATGACGTGTTTCATGTGACCATTGTAAACCTGTCATGACATGACGTGTTTCATGTGACCATTGTAAACCTGTCATGACATGACATGTGTTTCATATGACCATTGTAAACCTGTCATGAGATGACATGTTTCATGTGACCATTGTAAACCTGTCATGACATGACATGTGTTTTATGTGACCATTGTAAACCTGTCATGACATGACATGTGTTTCATATGACCATTGTAAACCTGTCATGACATGATACGTCTTTCATATGACCATTGTAAACCTGTCATGACATGACATGTGTTTCATATGACCATTATAAACCTGTCATGACATGACGTGTTTCATGTGTGTAAACCTGTCATGACATGACATGTGTTTCATATGACCATTGTAAACCTGTCATGACATGACGTGTTTCATGTGACCATTGTAAACCTGTCATGACATGACATGTGTTTCATATGACCATTGTAAACCTGTCATGACATGACGTGTTTCATGTGACCATTGTAAACCTGTCATGACATGACGTGTTTCATGTGACCATTGTAAACCTGTCATGACATGACATGTGTTTCATGTGACCATTGTAAACCTGTCATGACATGACGTGTTTCATGTGTGTAAACCTGTCATGACATGACATGTGTTTCATATGACCATTGTAAACCTGTCATGACATGACGTGTTTCATGTGACCATTGCAAACCTGTCATGAGATGACATGTGTTTCATGTGACCATTGTAAACCTGTCATGACATGACGTGTTTCATGTGACCATTTGGAAACTTTGATTCATTAATATTGAAATACATGTATTTGAAGATGTGTTCAACTGGAAATGCCTCACCCAGACAATTTTAGCCAGAATGTTCCCCTTTGGATGAAGGGTTTGACTGTAGATATTATCCCAATCTCTCTGCTCTGTTTCTCGTCCTGTGCCAAGGTTGTGTGCTACCAGTTGTTGTTTTACATTGACAGCTGTATATAGACTGCTATAAAGATTCTCCTAGAAGTGAAGCAGGGCAAGAAGCAGCCTCCAACTTTGTACACATTCTGGGAGGCTATTATGGCCGACAACTTGCCCTACTTCAAAACAAATCCAGCATGACCACCCACGCACAGGAGGTAACCTTGGTTACGTGGGTAATTCCTGGTACCCCTTCCCTCCCTTTGTTGGCTGCAGGGCGTAATAAGGAACAGCAATTCATGTTTGTTTAATCAAGTCAATTTGGGAATTTTATCTCATTCTTAAATTGTTTAATTCTACAGTTGTACAAGGTGAAAGTATTATGATTTTTTGAATATTTTGCTGTTCTATGTGAATTGATCATTTTAATATTTTTCAATTTTTTATTTTTTCCCCAATTTTTATATATTTGAGTTTTTTAATAAAAGAAATATT